AATGAGATCCTTCCTGGAACCATGCCAACGTATATCTGGTCACTGCTGTCCATATCAATGTTCTGGGAAGGATGGGCTTCCATCTGCAGAGCAGATGTTATGTGACTGATATAACAGAGCTGTCGGTCTGCATGTAGGAACAAGAGATGTCAGCAGATGAGTCCCCCACCATGTTGTTCTGCTTAATGATTTTTCCCAGTACAACTTCACTGTCAACATGGCAGTATGAGGAAATTACTTATATTATTTGAGCATACTTAATGGTGGAATGACTTCTTTTGGCTTTACTTTGTTCATCTTTCTGCCTGCCATATGCAGCCCCTGAGGATACAGACATGACTGGCACCAAGAGTTGAAACTTTGATGTTTGTGCCCCTGTAAAAAGATGGCTATATATAGGCTTAGTTTATTCTTTTATTGTTTAGAAGCTAACTCAGTAGATGCCTAAACAGTGTATGTGCTACATAAATGACACCATCTTTACAAAACGTTTTTTTTTTTTTTTAATTCTAATTAGATGAGCAGATTTGTATCTCGGCCCTGTGCATATTTAGTTAGGAATCTGTCCTGTTGAACTCATGGGCTCAATTTCAAATAAAGATTAATAGAATCATACTGCAGACGCAATAATTGAAATTAATCTCTTAAATCCTTTAAGTGTTCACACACTGTTCTAACCTTGTCCCCATATGCAAAATGATTGTCCACATGCAAGGCAATTTATGATTCCAGAATTTTCAACCACTATTTGGTAAACAATATAATTCATCAAAGTTCATGTTTCCTTTAACCTGAGATTGTCTGGGAGGAAGGGTGATATCATTAGACTCATCCTACTCATGACTCTTCATCTGGATGGCTGAAAATTGCTAGCACATTTCCTCACACCTAGTATTGCATGCACATAAGCCTCCAGGTTTAGCATCCTATATGCACTTAGGACAGAGGGCATTGGATGCTGCCCACCATGTGCCTTTTAGAATCTGTGAATAATATTCTGCCTTGTTCATTGGCTAAAGATGGGTGAGCACTGTTCCCTTATCATTACCCTTTTTTACCTGAACAACAAAAAAGAACACCCGGAAGTATTTCGGAGAAGTAGATGACACCTGTTTGAGCTGTGCATCTTCTGCTTTTGTTACTTCTCTTAATGCTTTAGAAACTGTATAGGGATTTCAGCAATGCACCTTTTATGCTATCTTCTCTGATCACTGCAAATCAAGCATTTTTCTGCTTCCTTTGGCAGTGTTTTAAAATATATCATATGTTAATGTTTCTTATCATTCCATTTATGTAAAAGTACCATTGACATCTAGTTCAGTCATCTAGGGTTGCCATATCTTGGGAGAGCAAAGAATTACTGTGCAAACTATGATTGTTTCTGTGGTTTCTACTGGGTTTCTTGTTTTCTCCTAGCCAAGTCTCCAAGCTATAACAGAAGAGGCCATACAAAGACTTCAGATTGTGAGACTGTTTCACAGAACCTAGGAAGAAAAGATTGTTAGATTAGCCCAGCTAGGAATACCAACTGACTCTGGTTTGTAAAGCGATATATGCAAAGTTTTAGGTTGTCCTGGGAATGAGATCACTCCTGCCTGATCCAAAGAGCTGGGACCAGAAAAACTGCAAACCCTCTTAGTAGTATAAGAGTGCTGTTGATGCTACCCCATAGTGCCTATGTCATGGGCCTGGCATCTTGTCATGAACCCAAGAGCACTCATAGCACATTTTGAGAATTAGACTCTTTTTTCCATTTCTTGGCACACTACATCTCCTCCTGAATAAACATCCATACCTGGAGTTGGGAAGAGGCTGCCTTATCGGAACAAGTGAAAGAAGGAGGGAAGGTGGGCCAGGCATCAGAGTATTGCGCCACAAAACTGCTCCTGCCCAATAGGCTGGTGCACAGAATCTCCCACTCCTACAAAAAGGTACAAGCTGCAATCCGGTACACAATTACTGGAGTAATTCTTACTTACAAGGAATACATCTCATTGAAACAAATGGGATGCACTTCTGAATAGACATGCATAGGCTTACGCTTTGGGCCTCTTAAATACTGCAATTATATTTGTCCATTACTGTAATTAAGAAAATACAATGTAAATTGTTCTACCCTACAGGGGTTTACTTTTTCTAGGACCATAGGGCTATTTATCAAGGGATGTCTGAATAGAATGCAGGAATATAACATAATTGTACAGAACACATAGCAGAAAATATGGTTCCCATATGGAGCTTTCCCATATTTCAAATAAACAACATGTTTCTTGGCCTCTTGAGCTAAAAGAAAAGATTTTGGGTATTATTGAAGGAGCAGCCCTGCTTTCTTTTCCATTGATTAAATTACATGGAACTGAAGAAAAGTTCAGTGTGTGACTCCAATATGCATAATTTAAAGGGAAAATGCTGCAAAAAAAAACTAGAGGAAACTATTCCCCGACAAGTAGAATATGCAGCTGCAGCATATTAAATCATTCTGGACTAAAATTAATAGAACACAATGTGTTTGCTATATAGAGCAGTCAAACAGATATCAAAGAATCTCCACAATCAATGCTTAACCATGAAAAATCCCAGCCCCCAAAATATAGATATGTCTAAATCATTTTGGAACCTCATCTTTTTATAAAGGAAAGTCTCTCCTGCTCTCTGCTATTTCTTCTGTATCCCAAAATACTATCATTTGCATGTCTCATTTTCCACCTCAGTCACCATGCCAGCTTAGTCCTCCTTCCCCCTTATGACATTTTGGACCTGGGAGCTGGCATTCATCAACATCATCACACGCAACCATCTCCTCTCTAAGCGCATAATCCTATGGACTCCTGACATTTTCTGAGGGGATAGGATTATTTGGAGCTCTGATAAGCCCTGCCCTGCCCCACCCCCTTCAGAGATCCTGTGAAAAGAGCTGCACTGGCCAGTTCTTCATGGATACAGCTGGACCTCCAGAGGAGGAAAAGGAGCGTGCCTGGGGCAAGGAGGTGAGGACGCTGGGCCAGTGGCTTATGTAACTTCCCAGGCTCCTTCCCTTCCCCTACCTGCTGCTTTCTCTAGACAGGCAAAAATGGCTGTCTAGATGAAATGCTTGCTGCAAGGCACTGAAGCATTCGGGGTTGCTGCCGCTGTGCCCCATTCCATGATCTGGATGCATTAAGCCCCTGAGTTGAGAGGCTTATGTACATATCAATGGAAGGCATTACAGTGTGCCCTAAATGACTTTTAGGGAACAATCCTATGCCTGTGTGGATAGAAAAAATCCTGCAGCTTCCAGTCTTCCCTAGCATGGCTAAGTGAGGAACACTGGGAGTTGTGAGACTGTTTTTGTATGAACATAGATAGACTGGTGCATGTAATTAAGGAAATAAAAACAACCCCCTTTTGGTGCATCCATGCTCCTTCCAAGAGAAATGCACTGGTTTCCCCCATCAGAAGGCAAAGTAGTAAATACACCATTTCACCACCACTGCTTTCCCAGCTATAAGCACAGCACTCAGGGGAATGGAAAGCAGAAGTGGGTGGAATTAGAGCATCCATGCACAGAGATGACACTTGTTTGCTTTCAGAAGGCCCCTCCCAAAAGGATGGGACCCAGACATGCTCATAAGGGGAGTTTCTGGAGGAGATTACTAGATTGGGTTCAACAGACCACTCTGCATGCTGAAAGTTTCGTGCTGGGTGTTTTGTGCTTTTTGGTCAATAAACAACGCTTTGCAAGGCCTGTTCCTTTGAATGCACAAAGAAGCAACATGACATCTAGCAAGTTATGTCTTACGCTTAGTACATATTAATTAGTTGATTGATGCACTTTAGCCATACTTTTTCACTCACAAATAACATGTAAAATTAGGAGTTATTGGCCAAAAGAAAGAAGAAGGTAGGGGATAAATAAGCAATTTTTTTCTAAATAGCAGATGATCTGCACATTTTTTCTGGTTTTTGTAGCTAGAAAAATGGTTTTTCAAAGAAAGACTTTGTGTTTAAGCCAGGTAATGCATTGTCCAGACACCATCTGCGATTCTGGATAATGAATCCGGATAATGCTTGCATTTCTGGGAAATATGACAATCCTACTTTATTGTTAGTTATTAATCTTTTTTAAATGACTGGGCAGTTATAACGAGGAACCACATGGAAATTAAGTAGTGCATGAAAGGATGGGTACCAACTTTTCATGTCATGACCAACTGGTTTTTATTTTACAAAGGATTACAAAAAGATGTAGTACTGAGCAACACAAAACAATCAAAATATTGCTCAATCATTAAGCACCTTCCTAAATAAACTCATTTTGGCTTTTCCCACATGATTTTCCCCCTCAGTGAATGTACATTCGTTTCCTATTTGCTGTGCAAGTCTTTGCAAGTCTGCAGCTCTTCCTTCAAGCTTCCACTTGTTATGAAATTATCACATTTTTCTAGCATTCAGTGATACATTTTCTTTCCCTACATTTACTTTACCTGAAGAAAATACAGTACTTTGTCCAGATAGCACATTTACCTATGTGATGATCATTGTGCTGAATGTGATTGTAGAATATTATTGCAGTTGCTTAAATGGATACTTTTTGTGAATCTTGGTTAGTGACAAACACTACCAGTTTCCCCATCCCATGCTTGCATTATTGCATCCATAACTGAGGAGCACTTCCTTAAAATGAAATACTGGCAAATACTGGTGCTGATAGTGCTGTCCTTGGCAGTTAGTTCATAGCTTCCCCTGTCCTTCTGTCCCTTATGAATTGGGGAAGCTGTGCAGCGGGGATGCAGTCTCTCTCATGCACACGCTGAGCAAGATCTATTCTATCTATCTGTTACATGCTGATCTTGCAATTTTGCCCTGAGAGGGAGTTTCAAAACTATAGTGGGAAGCATCAGATGCTTTTGGAAAACACTTCTATTGAACATGTGGAAAAGCCCTTTGGGGTGAGGGAGACAGAATTTGATGAAATACAGATTAATTCCTTTGTAATGCTTCATTATCTTCCTTTGCTTTAGGGCCCTCTTGGATTGGATGGAAAACCTGTAAGTATTGCTCTAAGTTCCAAATGCACAAATTTGATTTGTGCCCTGCCACTCTACAGAACATAGATAAGTTAAACCTTATCCAGCCATTTACAAAATTATAAGAAGCTGTTGCTCAGTGATTTCTGAAAATCATCAGCTTTGGAGGCAATCTCATGCATGTTTAGACTGCTCCCCCCAAAAATGAAACAACTCCCAGCATTCCCCATACAGTATGGCTGACTGGGAAAAGCTGGCAATTTCAGGATTTTCTTCTGTCTAAACTTTAGAAGGGCTGCACCCATCATTGGTGAAGGCAGTTAGGTAAGCTGTGGGAGCAGACATGCAAGCTTTGAAATTATTTCTGAGAGCCTGTATGTTGAGTTCCCTTGACTTTGAGAGCAAACAAACAGACTGCTTTGGATACATGTGAAACTCCAGTGATGCACATGAGACTGTGCTCAGTTCTAAACCATTTGGTCAGTACAGAACATTTATGCATTTAACCATAATCTTTATGTGCCCAGCTAGCATCATCCAGGCACATATTCTTCACACAGCACAGGGAGCATTCACTGCCTTCCAACTTGGACTGCTTTAAAGGTAGATTAGCCAGAATTGCAGATCATAAAGCTATCAATGGCTACTGGTCATGATGCCTCCCTGTTACCTCCCATCTCAGAGGCAGTTTGCCCCTCAGTACCAGTTGCTGCAGGATGCTATTATTCATTCATTTATTTATTTACTTGATGTGTATGTTGTCCCCCTTGGCCATACGCTTTCTGGGTAGCTCACAACATACGATGCAGCAATTAAAAGAATGAATTCATAGCATAATAAGGCATAGTAACCAGCAATCAAGAATAAAAGCAATAAATAAAATTGATATTGTATTGCTGTTGTGTTTGTGTTCTGTTTTGGGCTTCCTGTGGGCATTGGCTTGGCTTCTCTGGGAACAGGATGCCAACCAAATAGGCATCTCATCCAGAATGGCCTTTTTATGTTCTAAAAGGAGCACTGTCAGCACACTTGGGAACCCAGTGCTTATATTTATGCTCAGCAAGAGAGGTCCCTCTTTTGCCCAGCCGTTAAAGCAGTTGGTCTGGTACAAGGGCCCTTTCTACAGGGCATTTTCCACAGTGGCCCTGCACCTCCGGAACAAGTTGCCAGTAGGCACGGAGAGTCTGTCTGGCCCCAGCACTGGAGGCTTTTAAGAAGGTCTGAGAACTTGTTCTGCCCTTCCCTTGATTATGTGTCATTGGACTGAGTTGCAGCTGCAGTTGTTTGTTGCAAGTTTTATGCAGGGATTTGATTTTCTTAAAATGTTGCTGTTTTTATTGCTGTTCTTATGTGTTCTTACTGCTTTTATTGTTGCATTGATTTTTTGGCATGTTTTGTTATCAAACTGCGGCAGGGGTGGGGAGCTCTTACTCTAAAAGGAGGCCAAGGAATGTTTTTAATAAATACATAAATTATACAAGTATAAGAAGGTTGAGGGGGGATACGCTAGAGAGTGAGGGGCAAGTGGAAGAATCCTCAGTCAAGTGAGGTCTGCTAAGGATGATCACTGAGTGCAAAATGCTGGCTGGCTGTTGCAAAGAAAACCAGGGGCAAGGATGAGAATGGAATGAAGTGTGTGGTATCCCGAGCAGAGGCACTCCCCTACTGGTATATGCTAAGAGTGAACCCCGGTTCATGAGTACTGGCCTTTGTGTAAACAAAATGGCAATATTCACACACAAGAGGGAGAGGTATCAGAAAGTTTGGAGATTTCAAGGTTTGCAGAAATACCTCCCCCTCAAGAAACTCCCACCTTCAGGGAAAAGCCCTGAGGGAGGAAAAACGGCATAATGAAGATTGAGCATGCTTAGGGCACTTGCAATATTGGATGATGGTTGGATGGTTGAATGGAAAACCTGGAGGGTGGGATAGTGGAACGGAGTAGCTAAAAACCTGAACAGAAGTTCTCCAGCCTGAAACATTTTGCTGTAGAACCTACTTGCGATACTGTTTTCACAAAAGGAATTCAGTTCACCCCGGATTCAAGCATTAAGCCTGCTATGTATCTATACTGCTCTGACATTTCTTTTCATGCTTACAAGAGAGTGCACTGTAAAATCTTTTAAAGCTGCTGTCACAAAGCCATCCAAGTGCATACATAATTTCAGCTGAAAGTTGTTACTAGACTGTTTGCATATGGTGTGCAGACATGCTTGCATATGCCACTGACCTGGGTGATCAAAAGCAAACACTTTACTAATATGTACCAGGTAAGAGTTTGAGTTCAAAACTTGATGGGTCTCCTTTCCTAGCTTGCACAGGGAAGAGCATTGAGTGGAACCATACAAAAGCTTCATAAAAATGGCAAAGGACCTTTCAGTGGTAAGACAGGGCTTCTTCAGATGGCTGCTACACTAAGACATTCTCTCTTCAAGCTCTTTCAGTGTGCTTTAAATAAAAAAGTTTCACACTGAATCACCCTTAAGAAAAGAATATGGATTTATTTTATATATTTATTAACATATTTATATACATCTTTTCATTTTAAAAATTCATGAGCAGTGTACAAAATGTTGTTAGAATGACAGTTAAAACAGGAAATCCCACTAAGCTAGCCTTGAAATCAGCAAAGGCTTAATTAAGCAAATCTCTTTTTAACAGGCACCCAAACCTCATCATGGTTGGTGCTTTATTGTACATCAGGGAGAAGAGAATTTCAAATGCTGGGTGCCGTGACAGAAAAGATCTTCTCTAGTGTGTAGGTGCAGCTGATGGAACAACCAGAAGACTCTGATTTGTAGATCTTAAAGAACAGGTTAAAATTGAATGATTGCACTACTGTAGACTGGAGATTGCAGGCAGATGACATATTCATGGAGAGAGAGGTTATCAGTGGCTACTGGCTGCTCCATGGTCAGGCATGCCTGCATACACCAGTTGCAGGGGAGCTTGGACAGATGGCTTGTACCTATCCTGTTTGAGGGATCCTGTGGGCAGCTGATTTGCCATGTTGGGGATGGAATGCTGGAGTGGATGGACCTTCAGTCTGATCCAGCATGGCTTTTTTATGTTCTTAAGTTCTTTGTATGGAGGTCATATGGTTGAATGCACTTGTGTGTGGTCTGCAGAACCCTATCACACAGCAGTCAGGGCAAAAGGGCTGGCCTTCAACTTTCCTGAAGAAAGAGAAAGTTTAGGTGTAAATGGTATTCTTTGGAATATTCTGTTTGGTCAAAGTAGCTAGAGGGAGCTAAAGCAGTACTGTGTGGACTAATGTACTTAACACTCTCTCATTGATCTTTACAGGGGCCTCAAGGACCAAAGGGGGATAAGGTAAGAGTATTCACTCTGAAAATTTCAACTCCCTTAGGATGGCTTCTAAACATTCTAATAAGAGGAGTCGCACTTAAATAATCATTTTGGGATTTATGGCACATTGACTCACACATGGACAGTTCACAACTTAGAGACTCATTTATAAAGTGTTCTGCAGTAGTCTATAATAACCATTGGGATTAACTGGTTTGCAGTGCATGAGTCTTCCTGGGACAGCCTTCCTTGGTGCCTTCCAGACATTTTGTATTTCAACACACCCATCCCAGGCAGAATGGCCAAAAGAAAGAAATTCTTTTGTATTCCAAAACATTTTGAACATACCAACTTGGGAAAGACTAGCAAACAAAGATCACCATCACACAAAAGAGCTCCCATATTACCAGAAGAGCTCCCAGATCATCTGGCAGCAAGAAAACACAAAAGAGGAGTCTGCTGTTCCACATACTACAAATAATCGCAGATTAAATGATCAACTCTCTCTTGTACCCCACGAATCTCAAAAGGCCTGAGTCTACTTGGCCAAACCCAGAAAAGGTGGTTGCGTGACCTGACAACACCCATAACAAACAAACATAGCACACTCTACCTGGCTGATTAAAAATTCAGAAATCACTCAAAATAGGGCAAAAGGAAAAACCCACAGACCAGAGCCACCCAGCTTCCACCAAAGCTGCCATCCCTTGCTAATTTCCCTCCAGAGAAAACAAGAAACTTCCCTCTGAGAGAGAGAGGAAGACTGTACTTCCAGACATTCCTTTCTCTTTAAACCAGTAATGTGGGTTTTCTAGAAAATTTCTTATGCAAATTATGGCAGTTTGCATAGAAAATGTGCAGTTTGCACTGTAAAATTGCTAGTTGTCAAACCATGTTTACCTTGAAGACTGTCCAGCAATTATATTTGGTGCAAAGCAGGGCTGTTTGGTTGGTGATGGGAGCCCCTAGCACAGCTCACATAACACCTATATTGAAAGAACTGCATTGGTTACCAGTTGTGGCCCAGGCCCAATTCAAGGTGCTTATGTTGACCTATGAAGCCCTAAATGCCTTAGGCCCCAGTTATCTTGAGGAGTGCCTGCACCCATATGTGCCTGCCTGGCCTTTGAGATCTATGCAGAGGGCCCTCCTGTGTGATCCATCTCTTAAGGAGATGAAGGGGATGGCCGCTAGGAGGAGGGCCTTTTCTGCAGCTGCTCCCCATATCTGGAATGCTCTCCCCAAGGAGATTCACCTGGCACCTTCCTCGTATTCTTTCTTGGCACCAGGCAAAGACCTTCCTTTTTTAAAAAAATATTTTAATAGTTAATGCCAGTCAACCTTCTGTTTTTTATTTTAATCCGTATTTTATTAACATTGTATATTTAATATGCTCTAATTAGTTTTTATTGTGTTTTATCTTATGACTGTGAGCTGTCCAGAGGTGCTATGGCACAATTTGGTGGCATACAAATGTTTTAATAAATAAAACACATTACTTAAAATATACACGTTAACTTACAGCACAAGCGTTTGAGTTGAAAAAATTTCACTATCACTCCAGCTCACACTTGACATAACTTTTACAAATGCATGTTTTTGCATATATATACATTTCAATGACATATCTGTTTTCTTGCATATTTTGTAGCTATAATCACCTGGAAAAATAATAATTGCATCTTTGAAACAACGATGCTTGCACAATACTGAATATGCAATTTGCATTAATGCATTGTTATTAATGAATTTATGAAACAGAAAATTTTTCCATGGAAAAATAAAGCACTGGGGAAAAGGCTGTCGAAATTTTCCACCTTAAAACTAGGTTTGAATGGACAGCCTTTCAAACAGAGGGTTCTTCAAATAGAGAGCTGTACTACATATGTAAAGTAGGACACATGGCAACCCTACATGAGTTCCACGTGTACACCATATTTTGTGAACAAATTTCGCTGACATTGTTTGCATGTCGCACCAATTAACGGTGGGAACAAGTGAGTTCAGTGCCTCTCACCCACTCATTGATTCTGCTTTCTCAAACAACCAAGGAATGACGCTGCATAATTTGTCATGATGTTCAAACCCAGCACATCTGGGTTGTCAAGAGCTGAACAATCCAGAGTTTTAACTCAGCAACCATCAATGGGCAAACTCAAAGTGGTTTAACCCTTAGAGTGCCAGGTCCAGATGTTCTGTCTAATATTCCAGGATCCCCTTTCAGAAAGTAGATGCAAAACAGATGCAAAGCAGCAAGCAGGTGGGAAGCAGTTCATCCGATAACCTCTTAAACATGGTCAAAGATTAAATGTGTGAACACCTCCTGGGCATCAAAGAACTAAGCTTGAGGATGTATATTAATTTGTGAATGCTTGTCCTTCCTGTTATGGGTCATCTTCCCTACTGTACCTGGAGGAAATGGATTCACCCAAGCAGTGCAGAATCAGCAGAGAACTGACATTGGGAAGTGAATTACAATTATTTTTCTGTTTTCTAGGGTGACCAAGGAGACATCGGCCCAAGGGTAAGCATCATTAGTAATTATGAATGCATCTCAAAGTTATACTTTTTGGCAGTGATGAGAACAAAAAGATCCATGTATTTGCCTGTCAATACACAAAAGGGGTGGAAAGGTAAAATGAGATGAACTGTTAACTCCTTTCTTTCCTCCAAGCTCACATTTTAAGAAACTTTTTTCAAAGTATAACATATTTCAGATTCCTATTTTATGTCTGGGCAGAGGGAAGTAGTCTACAAGTAGTCCTTGAATCATCTGAAACTTCCTGGAAGCCAAAAGATGTGCTGGGAGCACAGGAAGAAGGGCATTTAGCATCTGTTCCTACTAGTGGAAAAGATTAGGAAGATTCCTAAACCTCTTCCTGTTTGTGTGCAGAGCTTAGGGAAATCTGTTGTGGAAGAACAGCTGTTGAGAGTTTCTTTAGCTTCGAAAGACTCAGCTTAGAAATGGTGTGGAACCATATCTAAGTTAAGAAACATTAATCAATCTCAGCCTCTTATTTGAAGAGTGACATTGTATTCATTTGTATAAATAATTTCCATTGATGGACAAATTTTTAATTAATTTGGAAGGTTGACTCTAGTTAATGCCATGTTTATGCTGTAGGGACCAGGCAACTGACTGTCTTTTAGGGAGAGGATTTATTTTTGTAGCGGTGGTTAAAAGGTGATTAGATAGATAGATAGATATTTCTGTCATACCATTTTTCACCCAAGGTGGCTTATGTGGTCTTCCTCCTCTCTTTATTCTCTTCACAAAAATCAACATTCTAACATGAAATATTTCAAAATCCAAGGCTGCTCAGTTTTTCAGTCCTTGGAAAAAGTATTTTTCCCAGAGGCATTTTCCAGGCCTTCAGATCTCTAGATGAAGGTTCAGGGTCTTGAATCCTTTGCAAAGATTTGAAAATCTGGTCCCAAACTTACATGAATCTCAGCTGGAATAGATAGATAGATAGATAGATAGATAGATAGATAGATAGATAATACAGAGACAAAATCCTGAAATGAGCAAATTTACTATGACTTGTTTCTTTCTCTCTCTCGTTCTCTGGTTCTTATCCATATGGAGGATTGCTCCATTAAACTATAAAACTGAGAATTTAATAAAGTTTTTAAAAAGTAATATGAACTAGCTAACATATGGACATTCTTACTCTGATTTATTTTCACTGACCATAATTTCACTGGAGTGGGACTGAGTTCAATAGAAATATATGCATATTTCTGCCTCCAGTGAACTAAAAAGGTACTTTTTTGCTTTTAGGCAAAACACTGTTCTTTTTCCCAGTTACCCTCCACAGGGATGTGCAGTCAGCATTATTAAGTGTCTTTGTGTGCCTTTGTATGAGGTATGAGCATGAAGAGACAAAACTATCCTGATATACCCAATAAATAAAATCAAGAAGAGGTGTTCTGGAAATTACTTTGAAGGGTTTTTTTAATCTTGAGAGTAGTGAAGGAATAGATTAAAGTCAGCTGAAGAAAAGGACCAGAAGAGGCCTGATTTTTTTACAACAAGAAAAAAAAGTGGTGTGGAAAGTGGATTGACTGGTTTTCTTCTTGGTCTACAAATTTCTGGTAAAATTCTGGGAAACTCGGCTTTTACTTTGAAGTAAAAAGACGCATCTAGCCTTTATGAACAAAGAAAATATGGCAACAAAAAATTCCAAAGCAAGTGGGAAAAGGAGTCTGTGTTATTCTAATCTCATTTTTAATATTTATGATTAAGCGTAAAATAATAATTAAACTATCCAAGACTGCCTTTGAGCATGCAGAGTGCTCTCTTCTCACTGCTGAGCAACAGTGTCTTGGGCACATTGATGCCCATGGGAACCATGATGTACACATATTAAAGCCTCAGCACCTCACTTGAGGAATTAAAACGCCTGTCATGAACAAACTATTACCAGAGTACCTAGCTTTTCTGTTCCCTTCCACACAACAATCAATTGTATTTCCTCCCTTTCCAGCAGTTTGTCACTACTCCATAATTTTCCCTCTGCTTTCTTATTAAAGGCAAGCTCTACTTTCCTGATCTCCCTCTAACTCAATTTATACCAAGATCCCTGCAGAGTTCAGTGCAAGCCTGATTAATACCAGGACTATGTTCTAGGATTAAAATACCTTTGAGCATGTACAAAGTCCATTTTCCTCACCTTTGAATAACTGCTGTCTCCTGCTGCCTCATGCATTTAGAACTTAGGGGAATGTTGTCTCCGAGCACATGTGTCACACCCCTTTCCCATCTTAACTTCACTGATTACTAAGTAAATTATCTATAACCTGAAAGTCTCCTGGATTCCTCAGCAATGTGGGAGCCATCACAAAAGGTGATACAGAGAAACAGAGGTGATACTTGATTAACAGAATCATGATTAACAGAAGAGTCTCAACTATTACATAGCATTGCTCTGATTGCAGAACCTGCAAAATGTTGTAGAAGCCCTTTATTAAAGGAAGTGTGCCCTCTTTGCAGTCTCTTTAAGATAACAGAACTTCAAGGAAATGAGAAATTAATTTTCCAAATTATGCAGTCATCTCACTATGATACAAACTGCTATGAAATATATTGTGTGAGAAAAATGTTTGCTCTGCCTTATCAAAAGACCAGAGCAGTTCAGTTTATGTAGTGTTGCTGCTCCATTTCACTCTCTGAATTGTGGATGGAAATACTTCATAAATGGGTATTTAGAGGCTTTCATCAGACTTGCAGTATGATCCACAAACTGCCCACATAGATAATTTCTTCTAGCTTAATGAATTCAATCATACCTGAAGGAATAATAGTGAAAAGGTACATAGTGACTGGTGGTGCCTAATCCAGATCCATTCCAAAGGAGTGCTGTCACCCTCCATTACGCATAAATCATAGAATGGAGATTATTCAGAAAAAAAAAATTTAGATGAAGGAAAATGTTGCAAGCAGTCCCCACATGTTATCAGTTCACAGAAAAGCAGTCTGCATTTAGAAATGTTCATGTTATGAAAAATGTTCTTCCCCCAGTTTCTCAGATGTGTTATAGCCCCAGCTACTAATTTTCTCCCCCCCCCCCCCGCACACACACAATATCAAAAAAATCAGATGCTTCTGGATTTTTAGGACAGTACTCCTCCTGTTCTCGTTTCAAATCCCAAAATGTTTCTTCCTGTGACACTATCTGGCTGGATTATTGGGCAGCATCTTTTCTTTAGCTTCAGCAACGGAGTTTATTTCCTAATGTTGCTTCCTGGTTTACATGGAGGAATGCATTATTTCAAATTGCATACTCTGCACTTAACTGTAAAGAAACAGCCATTAGTAGATGCTGATGCATCTGAAAAAACCAGTATTCATATGAGTTCATTTTTCAGAGAGGGGTAATAATTTAATTAAAAGAGGAATTACATAATCTTCTCTGAGCACACTGTGATCTGAAAAACAATACTAATTTGCACAAAACTTCAGTCATACATTGGTTGATCTGCTGTGTTTAACCAAATCATCATGGGAAGACATTGTGCTAATAATTTTCCCTTCCCTGTTCAACATGTCGTACATTTTCCAGTTCAAACTTTGCTTCTTTTCACTGAAAACTTGGTTTGCATCCACTTCATCAGTCATGCAGTTTGGGTGCCCTGCTATGTGCAATTCCCACAGCATAATAATTGCTCTGAAATAAAACCAAAAATGTCTGGCTTTATAAATTATCAGAAGGGCCGTGGTGAAGGACAGCAGTACATTTTAAATGAAAATGAAGAACGTTGTTCCAGAGGCCCATCTAATTCAGCATCTGCTTCTCATGGAGACTGACCAGATAGTTCTGGGAAGCCCACAAGCAGGATGTGAAGACTACAGCCCACTCCTGTGTGCAGATCTCAGTAACTAGAGTGCAGAGGCGTATTGCCTCAGAACAGGAAATACATAATTTTCTGCTGAAATGGAATGGGGTTTCTCTAGGATGCACATCTGGTTAAAACTTTCAGCATTTGCATCAAAAGTCTTTTCCTGGATAGAAGTGTGCCATTACTGGAGAGTACTGTGTCACCTGTTGCAATGCTTCTGTGGCTTTTACTAATTTGATAACAATGATGTGACTACATATTCAGAATGGCTTTAAGGAACTGATTATAGATGAACAACTTATAATAGGTTTTGCCAGTTACTGAAGCATACATAATGAAAGTGTGAGAAACAGAAAAACTTCATAGGGTATCGTTATAAGATCAAAGTGCACCAATGCCATTGTTAGCTGTTTATTAAATCAAATTGGAGTGGATTTAACTAATACTTACTAGGAAGTAAAGTAGCTCTGTGTACAAAAAATATGTTATGATGAAACTGTACAGTACATAGCCATGTATTTCCAGAAAGTCATCCATGTGCTGGTTTCTGATGGTGACTGAGATTCCGGCTTCCAGTTCTGAAGACTGTGGCAGATGTTGGTTTTATCATGTTGTAGCTTAGAACAAGAACCAACTCAGACTCAAGGTAATGAGTCTGTAATGCTGTCACGCTATGGGAGTCCTCTCTGTTATCAGTGTAGCTATCAATAGGGAGCAGAAAGATACCAGGTTCTGTGCATTAAGGGAACCATCCTGTGTCTCTAGACAACAACTGAAGGACCTTGGGATAGTTTGTATTACCAGATCGGAGGTTGGAGATAGTGCTCTGAGACTGGAGATAACACTTCAGTTTTGGAGCTGAGAATTGGAGTTCCAACCTCCTTCTTCCAGCCCCTTGCAGCTGGTGCAGAAAGAACCATGCCTGCTGGTCTTCAGTGCTGGGACAGCATCCTTGGAAAGTGGGAAAAAGGGGTGTTTGGGGAACAGGCCAGGATACAAGCTATCCTGCTGCTGCTCCAGCCTTCTTCCCTTCGGTCTTACTCCAGCTAGATGGGCTAAAAAGCCTGCCAGCAGAAAATACAAGACAGGAAGATGAGGAGGCAAAGATTGCTCTGCCTAGAATGAATATAAACCTCTGGATTTGTGGGCTCCATTCTCCCACGGCCATCCAACTTTGCCACT